TACCAACCGTCCTGGGCGGGGTTGTTGTAGCCGCTACAACAACAACCACCGTATCATCTAGCAGTAAGGGGTTACATACGAGCTTTTCCGACATCGCCGGTTCTATTCGCGCTAACAGAAGCTGGTATCCCGCGAATCAAAGATAGCATAACCCACAACACCTGAAAACTTGTAACTAAACTCCTACATTGCAGAAATGCAATATTATATAATACGATCAGTTCATTCATTATCTCGACTATCCACAATCTCGAGGATTGTTAATGCAGCTACGAGTGCAGGACTAGTCATAAACCCAGAAAAATTCAATTACAAACGCCCGGTACCTTGGTCCGAACCACGGAAACACTTCATTCTGGACGTGCACTTAAAAAACAAAAGCTCAACTCCCTCGGCAATATATCGACAAACCTTCGAAGGTATTTCAGCAGATCTAAAACAACAAGGGTGGAAGTTCCTATACACCGACGGGTCAAAAACAACGTCCACAACTGCGTTTGCTGTGGTAGATTCGGATTTAAATACCATCAAAGTCGGACGCCTGCTCAACTTATGTTCTGTTTATACGACCGAGGCCTGTGCCGTATTACAAGCCATTCAATACGCAGTCCAAACGGGTGGTAAATACATTGTATGCACCGACAGCATGTCCACAATCCAAGCAAACAAATATACAACAACCCTCAACTGCGTAACTTTACCAATTCGAAATATTCTAAATAGAGATAACAACCAAATCAAAATCATTCCAAGCCACGTGGGTATACCTGGCAACGAAGCTACAGATATAACAGCAAAACTTGCAGCAAAGCACCCCCCGACTGCACTAAATATTATCATCAAAGATGTTTACCGACTGGCTAATTTAGTCATCGTTAAAATAAAACAAGACGAATGGAGAAAAACATGCCACCACTATTCTTCGATCTACACGGAGGGACAAAAGCCCAACTTCCCAACTTAAAGATCTGAGCCAACCAACATGCCAATTCTGCAACGCCGTCTCAGTGTCCGTCACCCATCTACTCGACATTTGCCAACAATTCTCCGCAAAAAGGCATAACATCTTTGGTAGCACTAATCCTCCCAGCATCCTGAAGAAGAATGACGCCGAATCGATAATAAAAATAAACGAGTATCTTATTTTAACAGAGTTGAAGACTCTAATATAAAGTTAGTTATCATGTAGCCAGTACCACAATAGTTAATTACCATTACTGTTTATATTTATAAGAGAGCCAAAGGTGTAAGCACTAGCGCTCCAGATAATAATAATAATTATGCGACAATTTCATTCTAAAATCGTCTGTGGTTTCCTCGTAAGACGCACACATTCATCCCATTTTCTGAATGGCGACAGCCTAAATAAAAATCTCTTGAACTCTGAAATTATATTCTACGACCTAAAAAATAAAGATTTTTGTTTAAGGAATTTACACTCGCTTACTGTCACAGTCCGCAATAAACTATTTTTAATTAATGAATTGAAGCCAATAAAATCAATATCAAATCAAAATGGTTATATGTAACGAAATAAATATGCACATATATATATTTTGGTACATACATACATACAAAACCAGGTGCGCTTAATGATGTATTTTTAACGTGAATAATAATAATAAAATATTATTTACACAAACTAATAACAATTTTTCTCTCAATAAATAAATTGGGGCTAGGATCGTAGTAAATCTTAGGTAGGCACTACATATTAATTAATTATATATTAGCGATTTTGTTCAATCAGTTTTAAGACGTCGTCCATACCGCCAAGCCAATTTCACCAGATCACTGTTTTCGATAGTCCAAACAATGAGACAGCAAACAACACTTAAAAAGCCATATATAAAGAATACCAAAATTGGTGTTGAGCAGTACTAAAAATAAATAAATTAATAATTTATTCTCGAAATGGCTATTTTTTCTCTTTTTCTACTTCATGATCTTACCGACAAATATTTACAAAATGTGCCTGTTGCCAAAAGGGTCATAGCAAACCATTTTCCGGGGAGCAAGCCCAGCAGTGGGTTCAAACCTGTTGGCTTGTATTGTCGAAATATGAAACGTGTACTAAATATGCCAAAATTAAAATTTTTTTAATTTATGGAATGTAATGTATACAAACCTGTAGCAGATTCTACAAAACATGTTGATACAGTTAGCGAATATAAATCCTACTGGGCCTAACCAGCTCGTTAAAATGTAAGAGAGTATAAGAAAACTAACTGAGAATACTGCCATTAAATAATTATATTTGTCAATATCTTTGCTAGTGTTCGTAGCAAACATATAGCCTTCCGTGATGCCGTTAATAGCTAAGAAGTATATAGCTAAACAATGCCATTGCAGCAACCGCTGTGGTAGCCCACCAGCAACAAAATCAGGCCCGCCATATAATAGAAGTATAGTATGTGAGTAACTTTGACCAAAAGTTAGCGCCAATAAGCCAATGGATGTAACTGCTAAGGACAAGTTTCGTAGAACTTTTGCTGCTTGTAAAATGTTGTCCTATAAATTTTGTAATCAGAAAAAATAATTTCAGATTTTTGTGATGCATGGAATCTTACACGATTTTGTTTGTGGAGTTCAATATCACGAGCAATAGTTTGTGTAAAGAAAAAGTAGCTACTATCTTCGATGGGTCTAAAAATGAAACGCGCCGCCAAGCTTCCCAGGTTATTCACTACATCATATGTCGCTTGTTCACTGAAGGTTAGCACTGGGCTTACAGACATTACGTATTTTTCACCTTCAGTTAAAATTTGCTTTAGAACGCCCTGTTTAACGAAACTCAGTGTAAGACTCTGCAGCTCGGTGTTTAAGAACTTTCCCTATGTAAGGAAGATAAACATTAGAATTATTTAAAGATCTACTATTTGACATACATCATTTTCCATAAATCCTGGAAGAAAGTCTGTAATTTTCTTAAAAGGAAAGTCATTTCCATCACCATTTTTTATGAACTCTTGTTTCGAATATATATCCCTTCTTTCTTGGCCTTCATTGAATCTTCGAATGTAAAAGTAAAAGAAGCCGTAATTTCCCAGTATAATTGTTGCAGTGCTCACAAGTTGCGCCAGCGCAAACGCATTAATTGCAGCACTTTTGTCGTTTATTACAATCCAGAGAAATACTGCTGACCGTACCAAAATATATAAAGTGTTCAATATTATTCTTAACCGTACGAAACAAAATACTTGTGTCACAAAACTAGGAGCTTCCGCGCATAGCTCAATAACACATGACAAAGCCATTGCATAGCAACCGAACTGATATTGGGTATTAAATCGCTCATCCACAGGTGATAGCAGATGTAACCAAATGTAAATGCAAGGAATACATATGACTGCACAGGTAGGAACTCTACGAAAATGTTTAAAATGTTTTTGATTCTTGAAAACATATTCATAGACATGTAATGTGTGTATGTACTCACGTAAGCCACATTTGGTTGATTAGCTGCGCCCACGAGCACTTATCACGTTGCTGAGTGGTAGCACTTAATCCAGCTCGGTTAAAGGCTTCCCTCGATAAAAACAGCAGAGTACTTTCCAATAATAGCAAACGAACGTTCATAATACCTAAAACCTCTCGACCCACATTTCGCACAATGAAAGCATTGATGGCAAAGGTTAGAACACGACAAATCATCTTTCAATAAAATCGAATAAAATAAGCTTATCAGCCATTACTCATATAAACAATTAGTTCAAAGCATTTAAATATAGATTAGTGAACGCACCTGGAATACAATACTGAAAGCGGCACTAAGGAGGCTGCTGTGAAGCACATTGCGCTGCATCGTACTGGTTTACTTTACTGTACAAACTTTATTTGAATCTTATTAGCCGGCACAGCAAAAACAGGAATTGCTGCGGTGCGTAAACAAACTTCTTTGAATTTTGAAGACACTATGCATAAGTGTGAAATGGCAATGCATTTAAAAAATAAACAAACTTCAAGAGCTTAAAAACACGTCAATGCATTGCACAGCTGTCTTAACAAAGAACGTAAATTTATATTATAAAGGTAAGACCGCACTAAGCGACGCGACACTGCAGCGGCACTACGCGACACGGCGCGACACTTTTCGGTATATCGCACTGAAACTGCAGCGACGCGACACTTCGCTGCAAATTTTTTAATTTATTTGTGTCAAAACCTTCAAACAAGATGGATGCCATTGACGCTGATGTAATGTTAATGCCTTTTTTTTTATGGCGAATTCTTCTCAAATATTATGTTTCTTTACATACAATTTTCTTCTTGAATTAAATGCATGTGAATATTCACTCACAATCGGAAATCCAATTTCTTCTAGTTAAATATATAGTACGAAATGTTATGTCGTTCCGCTAGGTATATCGCACTATGCGGCACCGGAACTGCGCGACACCACGCGGCGCGACATTTTAGCCTAGTTGGTCAACTTTGCCGCGCAGCGTCGCGTCGCGTAGCTCCGCTGCAGCGTAGTGCGGTATGCTCCATAAGAATACATGCAAAGAATATTTTGCCGCGAAGTGTAGTGCCGTGTCGCGTCGCCTATTGCGGTCGTACCTTAAATTTACGTTCTCTGTGTCTAAAATGACTGTTCACAATGAACTGCTGAAATTATCCCATGATGCAATCAAGAATGGTGGAATACATTTTATGGTGCAATTAAGTTTTCAATTGAAATATATTTTAGTGTTAATGCTATAAAATTAAGTTTAGCGAAACGTTGAGCTGTAATAGTGGAAAAACTTGATTTACGACGCCTCAGAAACTTTAAATGCACTGAAATTCGCTAATACTACCACAAAAATCACCGTTCGTTTTCACATTTACCGTATTAATTCTTATTGCAAATTATATATTTTTACAATTTAACTAATTTAAACAAGTTTCCTATCGATGAATTTAATATTAAGAAAAGTGGCTATTCTGACATTTTCTTTTCACATGCAATTCGAGTTTGTATCTTTGGGACGAATTGAGATTTTGATATAAAAGCCGTCAAGGCGAATTTATGCAAAGTGGTGTTGTTAGATCACCTGATTTCTTCGCCTTACATGTATTTTGTTTTTGCTTTTCGTGATTTGACAGCACATCTAATCAAAAGCAAAATCAGAATACGGTGGTGTAAAATAACACCATACGCAATAACGCCATATGGTCTTATTTCCATATGGCGTTATTTCCAATCCAGAAGTGAAATAAACCCATATTCAAATTTGTGCAAATGAGTAATAAAGCCATATTCTGAAATGACACTCTCAAGGCGAATTAATAAGGCGGTGTTACCGGCGAATCTGAATTCTTCGCCGTAGAGAACATTACGTCCAAATGCAATGATTTATTTAAACTGATACAAATTATTACAAATAAAATGAAATAAATAACAATTTAATATATCCGGATTTATTGGATATTGGAAAATAAAAATATGTACTTAGGTAAGTTTTAATTTTGCGAGTGCATAACCTAGCGGGTGCACATTTGCTGGCTCCCCTCACCTCGCTGCGCCCGGTCGCGCCACGCTCATGACCCCCGCGTCTCGCTGCACCCCACTCGCGTGATGTGTTTGTTGTAATATAAATTCGCCGTGTTTACAACCAACACATCATTTTGACATAATTGTCTTGACAATATTGTCCGGTGTAAACCCTAATGCCTGGATTATAATGGAAGTAACAAAATGGAGTGAACTGTCACTTAATTATCTATTGTATGGGCAATGCATTCAAACGATTATAATGCACTTGAACGCAATGTAANGTAACCAAGGTATAAGTTATTAAATTCGCCTTGATACATGACATTGTGGTTTTTGTATTGTTGCTATCGCCTTGTACGAATACGCCCAAGGTGAATTTATACAAGGGGGTGTTGATGACGAATTTAGATTTTCGCCGCGGTAATTAATGCCAAAACGATGTGCAAGGCGAATTTATACAAGGTGGTGTT